GATGTCCCTTTTAGTCAATAAAGATAGTTATTTAATTCTGTTTTGTTTTGACTTCTAACATTTGGCTTCTAATGTATCCCCAGACCTTCCCTTTCCAAAAAGAGGTAGCTAGAAATAGATGTAATAATGACTAAGGTCAATATTTTGGAATTCCATTCAGCATTGCTTTCCTCCCAACCACTCATCATTCTCTATGATTTCTAACTTTCTCTCTTAATGTTAATGTATTCTTTCCGAGTTTTAAATGTTTCATCATAGTGGCTTGGATTTTTTCCAATCCCATGATTATCTCTCTATTAAAACCTTAATACAAAAAAGAAATAAAAAAAAAAACCCAGACTGCTCATTACTTTGATTTGTAGCAAAGAGAGAATGGAACATTACCGCTAGAGTGTTTCGAGAAACCATATTTACATTTGCATCAGCTCAATTTAGGTGCCTGATTAGGTGCGTGTTATGATGAAGATGCACTTACCAGTCAAAAGGAGGTGGCATGGTCTAGAGTAATGAGCAGGAGACTTAAAGTCAGGAGCCCCAAGTGCTATTTCTGGCTGTGACTGGCTACCTCTCCGACCTTGAACAAGTGCATTTCACATGCCTTAGACCCTAGGAGCCCACTGTAGGGCTGCTGTGGAAGGTTGGTCTCTAAGTATTTATTGCAGTGGGAGCTATGGAATAGAGGAGAGACGGGGAGCCTGGAAGTCACACATGGAACGAAAGACAGGACCTCTGTTCTTCTAGCTCTTACCATGAGCCTATTAAGAGATAGGTCTGAGAAGTAGGCTAATTGATCAGATCTTGTTTTGACAGTGCTCGAAGACATGCTGAGAGGTTGGTCAATGGTCAGTTTACAAGATTGTCAAAAATTGGGTGAGATGTCCAAGCCCATCCTGTTATTTAGGAGGGTCTAACCAGAGCGCATATTGTCTCTGTTCTCTTAGTGGTGTATCCTGAGACTATGCTGTCATCCCTGGGACAAAGAAGCCAGCAGTCACTGGCCACTGGAGGACATGCCTAAGAAAGGCCTGCTCAGTGAGCCATCCTTAACTTTGGAAGCAAGGGCTTGACCTACAGTAACGCTAATGTATTCTGGAAACCATCTTGTTCCCTCTGGTAGCCCACAAGGCCAGTAAAAGTGTGCCCCAGAGAAGATCCAAGTATTCCTTCAATTAAGTTTCCCTCCCAGCAAAGAGCTAGATTGACGGGTAAGGGTTAACATGCTTTAAAAAGGAAAGCAAGAGAACAGTGTTCCCCATTCTAATATAGGCTGTTGAAGGCTAGGCCCTCAGCACATTATAGCAAAAAAGCCTCTATGATTCTCATCTCATTATCCGTCCTGCATAGGCTAATTTTTAGAGGACAACCTACTAATAATAGGCAGTATTTATTAAGCACTATCCTAAGTGCCTACATCAACTACCTCCTTTAATTTTCATATTAATCCATTAGGTAGGCACTATTACTGTCCCCACTTTACAAATACGAAAATTGAGAAACAAGAAAATTATGTAATTTGCCTGATAATATACAGGTAGAAAGTTGCAGCTCCAGGATTAGAACCCAGGTCACCTGGCCCCAGGACCTTCATTCTTAAGCACCTATGTCTGTATAAATACAAATTTATAATGAAGGCAGCAGCAATCTCTGGAGGTCCATGATTAGACAGACTGCAGCTATTCTAGAATGACTAGTCATCTCAAAGTGAGAGCACACTCTAACATCCTGATAAGAACAGGTGGAATTTGTACTTTAATATTAGAACTTTATTGTGCAATGGTTTTGATCTGTTCAACAGGTAGAAGAGAAGAAAAGTCTCTTTCCTATTATGCAAGAAACCTTCAAGTGTTTCTGCACTAAATATTCTGGCCCCCTTGAATAATAGTTTTATTCTTCTCTACCACAGTGCATCCTCTTAAATTGAAGACACCTGTGGCTACTATCTGATTTCTATGCCCCAAAAGTTTCCTTAAAGGGTGAAACAGAACATTAATTCTGTTTGAGACCCAATATTTCCTCTTCAAAGCATTTCTGATATTCTCTGTTTTTTCTTCCTCCTTCAGCTCTTCTGGATAATAGGAGAGGAATTTGGGGATGACTCTCGATGTATGTTTTAGCAGTTTTCTTTGACCTGCTTTAGTCAACACCAGCAAGGTCCAAAATTTGCCAGAGGAAATTGCCACTAGATACAAAATGAGGAGGGATAAAAATGAATTCCCACTGGGATAATGTAGAGGCCCACAAGTGCTCATGAAGCCACCATTTTGCTTCATAACCAAAGGCAAAACTCTAGGAATGCTTCTGAAGCAGCAGTGTGTGACCATCCTCTCTCTGCCCCACCATAGGGTCACAAATCAGAATACTACACTCCTGTCAGAATGACGGGTTACTGTTTCCTCAAGTACAGGTTCATGTGCAATAGCTGACCCCAGAGAAACAGAATGGCACAGTGTAAGAGCTTGTCACATTAAATGATCAGAAAACCATTACCAACTGATAGAACAGTTGATGGTGCAGAAATGATTACAGGCACCCCCCCCGCAGGCCAGCTCAGAGCTGCAGCCCAGGCGCTAAGTGGCTACCAGGCTGTCCAGAAAACTCTCCTGAAGGAGATAGAAGTTGAGCGCTTGTTCCCTCTACTTCCTACAGCTCCTTGAAGTGGAGAATGGTGTTAGGACTCCCCGCCTGACTTCAATTCCAATACACTTTTAAAAAATTATTTTTGGCAATAACAGTGCTTCTGTGAGATTTGGGATAAACGAAAACGTCTAAGGTAAATTAAATCTTATTTTACCGGACTGGAGGCCTTCTCTGTTAAGTACATTCTAGAGTGGATTTTCTGATTTTTTTGAAAGATTGAAAAATAATCTTTAATAAAGAGAAGGTCACTCTGAATTTGCCATCTAGAAAGTGTAGGGAGGCATCATTGAGATTCTTAGGTATTTACTGACAGCTGAGTTAATCCTCTACTGTGTTCTTCTTTTACTTATCTGCTTTTACCTGCTCAGGTGTAAACTCAACCCCTCCCAGCCTGAGTTGGTGCTCTCTGCTTTGGTGACACTGTGTGAATTTCTGCTGTGGTCCTTGGAAGATGGCAAGGGCCAGAGTCAGCAAATCAGGGAGTGTGAACTGCAATCTCTTCCAGGACCACATTGCATCTAAGCACAGTGTGAGACAAGTGGCCTGAAAGGAGAGCTGGGCAGGCCATTCCTAAGAGTGGGACTTTGTTTCTATGAATCTCTGCATCCACAAAGTACCAGTCCCTCAAATATCTCTGACCTTGCTCCTTTGCCTGTACCCAAATATGGGAATTTTGAAGCAGGTGAATGGCCTCTATAAATGGCTATTTTGTTACCATTTGGGAATCTTCTGATGCTGTACTGGATACTCTTAAAATCATACTCCTGAGACCCTTTACTAAACAGGTTGCATCGTTACTGCAGATGTTAAAAAAGAACTCCCAGAAAAAAAAGACAATGTCTCTAAGTATATTTTCAGAACTCAGACTCTGCAATCTGACTACTTGGAAGCTAATCCTGGCTCCACTATTTACTAGCTTTGTGCCTTCGGCAAGTTGCTTAACTTCTTTGGGCCTCAATTTCCACATCTCTAAAATGAGGAGAATAACTGTTCTTCCAACATAGGGTTGGAGCTACTTTATATAAGACATTCAAGGTGCTAGATCCAGCAAGAGGTCCAAAAACATTAGCGTGTTCATATGACCAGAAATGCATGCGCCAAAATGTTCACAGGAAACTTTATATGCCAAAAGAATGCATGGTTTTGTGTTTTTGTTTCTCTTTGTGCTTTTTTATGTTTTTTCTATTTGTTTTGGTTTTGCATTTAATTTTTTTTTTTTTTTTTGAGATGAAGTCTTGCTCTTCTCCCCCAGGCTGGCGTGCAATGGTGCAATCCCGGTTTACTACAACCTCCGCCTCCCACATTCAAGCGATTCTCCTGCCTCAGCTTTCTGAGTAGCTAGGATTACAGGCGTCCACTACCAGCCTGGCTATTTTTTTTGTATTTTTAGTAGAGATGGAGTTTCACCATGCTGGCCAGGCTGGTCTCAAACTCCTGGCCTCAGGTGATCCGCCTGCCTCGGCCTCCCAAAGTGCTGGGATTGTAGATGTGAGCCACCACGCCCAGTCAAAAATAAATATCTTTGAACAAAGACAAAAATATCAGCAAAGCTCCCAGAATTATCTAAGGATGCAGGTAAGGGGAGAAATGACAAGGGGGCAAATGGACAGAGGGATGGAGGGAGGTTTGAGTTCAGGGGTGCACTGTGGGAGCCCTGGGGCTTGCTGGGTCACTCAAGGTGAGCACGTGGAGAAGCACTCTATTTTTGAAGTGCTGGTCCAGCAGCCAGGAATATGTGTCTGGCTTATTCCACCTGATGATGGATTAGGCAAGTCTCAGGAGTCTGACTTTCAGCTCTGATGCTTCTGGGGACGGGCCTAAAGGGCCTAACCCCTTTTCCACACAAGGCCTGAGGAGCCTAGGGTGTTGACAAGGGTAAGGGCAGGTTTGTTCCTGATCCTGCAGGGCTCCCCAGACCTCTAAGGCAGGAGCTGGAGCTGCCCTTCCTTTGTCTGTATGTCTAAGTAATTATAACTCATGAAATTATCTAACCCATTAGTTAAAACCTGGCCCCAGTATTTGACTCTGACCTCCTACAGCACCCTGGGCCACACACTGTCTCCATGCTGCCTGATTTGTCCTCAATTTATAAGCAGCACAACCTATAAATAGAAGCCCTTTTGCTAAGTTCCCCAGGAGGCATCATCAGGTTTTCCAGCTTGTATGTGTTTTCTTCTTTCTTTTTTTAAAAGTCAACATGGTAGGCTTATTTTCCCTGCCTAGTATTCCTCCAGCTTTCACCTCCAGTTCATTTTAAGGGCATTCCAGCCCGTTTAGGGGTTTGGGTTGGCACACCAGCAGGGGCTGGCTGCACAGGTTGGGTTCTTAGGGAAGCCTCTGTCTTGGTGGAGGTCCCCACTTACCTATAGATCCTGTACCTGGTGGTGAAACCCTGGCGGTACCGCTCCATGAAGTCAGCATACTCCTGAGCGCGGTGGAAGGGGCCCCGGTCTGTAAGCAGCCAGTCCAGGGGGTGCTGGCCAGCCGCAGAGGCATGCTGCTCGGGGCCCACTGCAGCCGCCGTGGCTGAGACAGCCAACACCCAGCCAGGCAGGCCCAGTGCCAGCAGAGCTGTCCATGGGGCCGCCGCCGGCCGAAGCCCTCTAAAGCGAGTGCCACACTGCCACCTCATGCTTCTCCCGGGCGGTTGGTTTCTTCATTCTCTCGCCACACTCTCCCGCTCCGTGCTGCTCCTCCAGGGTTCAGAGCTAGAAAAGTACAAAAGGTGATGTCATTTGGGCACCCTGGTCTTTCCCCATTGGCCCGTGAGTATCGCACATAATTGGGTTGGGCCCATTCTAGAAATCATTTATCCTAGTCACATAACGTTCTAGGCATTTCGCAAAGTGCTTGAGGTACATCGTTTCATTTAATCCTTAAACCTGGGAGGAAACACTATTGTCATCATTTCACAGATGAGAAGATGAGGCTTAGAGAGAAAGTTAAGTAAGTTGCATAAGTTCACACCGCTCTTAAGTGATAAAACCAGAGTTTGAACTCAGGGGATCTGACTCAACCTTTATGTTATGTTGCGTCCCTGTGTCCTACCTTGAACCACCCAACACTATCCAATTCTGTCTTCCTCTTCCAAAAATGCTTGATCTGTTCCTTGCAGTTGCCTCAGACTGTGGCCTGCCTCTTGAATTTTGATGTAAGGTGAGAAGCAACCCTATTTTTCAGATGGAGAATTGTGAGGTAGAAAAGTGCTGAAGTTCCATTGCTGTTGTGAAGCTGAGGGAATGTGGGCAATCACGTCCTTCTCTGGGTTACATGTATAGATAGGCTTGAAGAGTTAATGTCTAAGACCTCTTCCAGGCTTGAACATCCAACCTGCTCTTTTACTGAAGGTCATGTGGGATGGAATTGGAATGAGGAACTCAGATATTGCATATGGCGTCATCAGAGCAGATCATGCACTCAAGGATATCGATCATGTTCTCACCTCCCCATGCAGCTTGGGAGCACCACGAGAGCAGAGCTGAGCAATAACTGCTATATCCTTCTATACAAGCTCCTGAGAGCAGACCTTCACACACCCTTCTTGAAGGAATGAATGAGTATCTGCCCTGCCCTCTCTAGGTTGGAGGGAGGATGCCAAGAAAGTAGTAAGATTCTGGCCTTCAGAATTCCTGGCTGCCTTGTGACTCATCATAGGTCTCTGATTTCCAGTGCCTACTCTTTGGTCTGAGAATAGTGAGTCACCTTTATAAACTCTGGGCAGATGCACGGGACCATTCGGTACTGTGGGGCTTCTTGGAACTGTGACCATTTCCTCAGTCTTTAATTCCCAGCACATGCTGTCAGAATCTGCCCATCTCGCCTTGTCAGCACCACTTCAGCGTGTGCCAGAATGACATCCTACCCCCAGCAACTGTAGTTCATAGCTTAAGAATGTTCTCTGACTGCCAAAGCCCAGAGACAGGCTCCCTGGGGATGAGGCAAGGGCTGTTAATTCCCTGGCAATTCCAGACTCTGGTAAAGGCAGGTAATGTGGACTTCAGCAGGTAATGTGGACTTGATTTACACCCCCTGCCAGAGTCCCCCAGGGAACTCTGGGCTGGCTCCAGTTCACCAAACCACCTGACCTCTGTCGGATCAGTGTGAATCCCAAGGGAGCTGCACAGAGGCTGGAAACAAACATTAATTCTGGAACTCTCCCAGCCTAAAGGTTGGCCTAAGTCTGAGAGATCCATTCCTCACCAGTCATACAGGATGCTTTCAGAAGAGTGGCAATCCCTGCTGAGAAGGATGGAGGACACAGAATGAGCGGCTGGACATTCAGCGTCATTCCTTCACTCCAGCGCATGGGGACTGACCACCTCCCATGTGCCGGGCAGCTCTTAGAAGTTCCCATAGTTCTCACAGAAAGTATGTTAAATAGCCATTATTAGCATGTTTATATTTTATTAGGACCCAGAAGAGTTAAGAAACTGCAGAGGTAGAATATGAGCCTAGATCTGGCTCCATATCCAGACCTTGCTAAAGAATACAGTACAGCCTCAGGAACTAAAGCAGGTGGTGAGACAGACCCTTGCTTAATGAACTAGGGAGGAGGGGCTGAGAGAAGAATAATGAGACAGCTCCTGCCCTGCCAGATCTTCAAACACGATAAAATCCCAATAATTAAAACAGGTGATACTGGCACACAAATTGGACAGCAGATCAATGAAATGGAATAGATAGCTCAGAAATAAATCTTTTTATATATTAGAACTTAGCATATGAAAAAGAACATAAGCGGTCGGGCGCGGTGGCTCACGCCTATAATCCCAGCACTTTGGGAGGCCGAGACGGGTGGATCATGTGATCAAGAGATCGAGACCATCCTGATCAACATGGTGAAAGTCTCTACTAAAAATACAAAAATTAGCTGGGCATGGTGGCGCCTGCCTGTAGTCCCAGCTACTCGGGAGGCTGAGGCAGGAGAATTGCTTGAACCCAAGAGACAGAGGTTGTGGTGAGCCGAGATTGTGCCATTGCACTCCAGCCTGGGTAACAAGAGCAAAACTCCGTCTCAAAAAAGAAAAAAAGAAAAAGAACATCAGAGACCAATTGCATGGGGGATGGAGTATTTTATACCTAATATTGGAAAAGTAGTTCCATTTGGAATAAAAAGTTAAATGTAAAAAATAAAATCATAGGAAGAAGGAAAATCCCCAAGTGTTTTATAATAAGCAGGCATTACCAGGGGAAAAAAAAAAAAAGAAAAACTCATTTGAAACTAAAAAGAGAAATCAGCCTTGTACATAGAGGGTGTAGGCATTTTTTATATGGATGCAATCTGATGAGGATGCCCAAAATATTTCTCATGTAATCATTCACATATTCATTTATTGAAGAAACATAAATTGAGGGCTCCTAAGTGCCAGACACTCTGCTAAGCATTGACAATACAAAAGCAAGTGCTCATTACATTACCTGAAACTCTAACATTAGCGATTAATCCCTTTGATAAAATATTGTTCTGTTTTGTTTACAGGCTTATTGACAAAGGGGAGGAAGAAATGTTCATTTTGGAGACTGCAGCTACCTGATACTGGAGGCCGAGGAAGCCAACACAGCAAAGTGGATATGCAAGGACATGGCTAAGAAGACACTGGAACGCAGGATTCCCAAATGACCAAGATCCCCACACCCTTCTGTGCATGCCCTATATGATCCCTTCCTCTTGAGTATGGGCAGGACCTGTGAGTATGATGGGATGTCACTGCCTTGATCGGGTTGCTAATCAGTTGACTTTGAGTGAAGATCTGATGAATGTACAATGCATTGAAAGTCCAGATGGCAGATAATATTTTAGACCCCGGTGGTGGCAATGAGGACAAAGATTTCTGAATAACCTTGAGCAATACCCTGGATGGGCCTGACCTACTCAGGTGAGCCTTTAGAAGAAAAGTGAGGTGTCAAAGAGACAAGCTTCTGCTGATCTGGGTGACAGCAAACAGCCATATGGTGAACTGCTTATGGGGGCCAAATGGCTGTGAAATATAGATGGGCTCTGGAAGCTGAGAGCAATTGCTAGCCAACAGCTAGCAAGAAAATGGGAACCTCAGTCATATGACATTAAGAAAACAAATTCTGCCAGTAACCATGTGAGCCTGGAAGAGGACCCAGAGCCTTGGAAAAGGACTGCATCCCTGGCTAGCACCTGGATTTCAGTCTGTTTAGACCCCGAGCAGAGGACACAGTTAACCTGTCCCACAGAAACTGTGAGATAATGCTTTTGTACTGTTTTATGCAGTTAAGTTTGTGGTATTTTGTTGCACAGTAATGTAAAAATAATGCAGACACATAAAAGATAACTAGCCTTTCCCATTATGAATAAGGCCTGGCCCAGTGAGGGTTCTTCACACTCCCTGAAGACCAGCTGTTACGCACCGTGTGAGAAGAAGCCAGCATGGCGGTTTCTTGAGCAGAATGAGACTGATCATCTCCCCTAACTCGGCTGAGTCACATCACACCCTGTCTACCTATTTTATGGACCCCTTCAGGTCAGAGACCATAATTGGTTTTCAAAAATATCTGATGAGTCAATTCCATGCATTTCATCGTGGGGTCATTGTGAGCTACTGACAATATGTGTCCTTCACCCCTTGGTGTGTTGACCTCCTGTGTTGCAATAATAGTGGTGCAGTCACCACCTCACCTAGCAGGCAAGGGTTTTCTGAGGACAGGTGAGAGCACACGTGAAAAAGCTGTGTGCTCCTTGAAAGAAGAGAGCTATATTAAGTCAACGTGTGCTTCTTGTCATTCTTTGTTTGTAATTACGCTTTTTCAGAACTCACAATGTGCTAGAACCTGCCTGGTTATAGGAGTATCAGCTTTAGAATCAAATGGTTTTGATTGCCGGGCCAAGTCTGCTGAGCACAGCAAGAATGCCTGAATTCAGTGCTGATGCTCCTCTCAAAAACCTGGCCTGGGAATCATATGGTTTCCGCTTCACTGGTTTTTCTCAGGATCTGAAGACATTTGGACTAAAAAAAATCTCTTTTTAAGAAAGAGAACTTTTAAACAGGTTTCAAAACTTGCTTTAAAAGAAAATCCCTAGAACATGTTCCTTCAGTTTTTAAAAAAGGACAAAATAGTTGCTGCATTGACAGTTGTGTTAAAATCAGGCTTTGTAAGGGGAACAGCTTTTGGCCATTTCTTATTTATGCTCCACAAATAATACCACCGGAAATTCTACAGCAGCAACCTGTCAAGCACATTTTAACTGTGTAAATCCTTACAACTTCTGGTGGAACTTCTAATCAGTGGCAAAAGAAAACAGTTAGTACCTTCCCCATTGTGCTTCAGTTTTTCCTTCTTGTCCTGAAACTAACTACCCAAGTAAGCCTCCATGTGATATGTCAGTGCATTAAAATAATGGCTAAGCAAGCTCCTTCATGAAGAGAATTATAAATTTACTTGTGACAGCCAAATCATTTCACTTCTTTAGACTACACTTACTTAAGACAGTTTTACATCTAAAGAAATAATAATTAACTTTGCACCGAAGATTCAGGTAAGCCAAGTCATGGATTTTCCTTTGTTGACTGCATCAGCTCAAATCTGTTCTTTAAGCTGTGGATTAAATGGGTCACAGTTTTGTCAATGGAAAAAATCGTGTGTAGATGAAGTCACATGAGAAGTAAGCAGTGCCGTCTTCAAATGGTAGCACTTACAGAAATTATGTCTCTACCCCTATCAGATTATTACCCAGCTGAGG